CATTGTCTATAGACAAAATGTTTTCATCATCCCCGACAAAAAGACTCTTAACCATTAAACCATAATTCCCTTTTCTCCCCACATCCTAGATCCTTTAGTCTGTCTTCTGTCTCTGTGAATTTGTCTATTCTAGGTACTTCATACAAGTGGAATCACATATGTGTCCTTCTGTGTCTGGTTTATTTCACTCAGCATGATTTTTAAGGCTCATCCATATTGTAGCATATATTCAATTTATTCTTTTTTTAGCTGAATAATATTCCATTGTGTGCATATACTATGTTTTGTGTATCCATTCACGTATTGATGGACACTTGGGCTGTTTCCACCTTTTGGCCATTTGACAAATGCTGCTGTGAATACTGATGTATACGTATTTGTTTAAATCCTTGCTTTCAGTTCTTTTAGAACTGAAGTTCTGAGTTTAAATGGAGAGTATCAGCATGAACTCAAGAGGTATCTTACATTACAAACAAACATATTTCCTAGCACTGTCCACAGAGAAAGACAGGAAACAATGAGCCTAGAAGCACTGAGCACCTCTAGCACTAAGACTGTAATCTCTAAATATCATTCCAACCAAAAAGGAATCAAAAGTTCCTTGGGAAAATGGCTGAGTTCACAGTGGGGCAGGAAATGTACAAGATAAGGCTAGAGTTTTTTTTCACATGAACAGCAAAAAAAGAGTGATCAAAGGTTACTAGGTTGTGTCAAAAGGACTTAGGAGACAATCTAAGAAGTTCCAACTCTCCAAAGACAGGGCCTCAATTTCTGCCTCACTTTAAAAAAAAGAGAGAAAGAACTAAATTTAGGTTTTAAGTTATCCTTTGTTGAGCCTGTTTTATATTCTGTAAAATTATGTATTAATTGTAACCATTTCTCCTCTGAGCTTAGCACAGAAAAAGCACTCAACAGAAGATGTTAGTACAAGTGCTACTTCATCAGCACAGGATTGTTCCGTGGATTAGATAAGCTAATACATGTAAAAGTACTTTTTTTTTTTTTGAGATGGAGTCTTGCTCTGATGCCCAGGATGTTGTGCAGTGGCATGATCTTGGCTCACTGCAACCTCAGCTTCCCAGGCACAAGCAATTCTCTTACCTCAGCCTCACTAATAGATGGGATTACAGGTGTGTGCCACCACACACGGCTAATTTTTTTTGCATTTTTAACAGAGATGAAGTTCACCACATTGGCTGGTCTCGAAATCCTGACCTGAGGTGATCTATCTGCCTCAGCCTCCTAAAGTGCTGGGATTACAATAGTGAGCCACCACACCCAGCCAAAAGTACTTTTTAAATGGCAGACTGCTGTACAAATGTTAAATATGATTAGATGTTATTGCTTCCAAACGCCATGGAACTGGTCAGAAGAAGGATCACTCCTTCACAGCAACATGCTAAATGGGGCAAACAGAATATATGAATCTTTGTATTGTATCAACACATACTGGAAAAGAAATCATAAACTTAGAGAATTGTCTTCTATCATGATGCTTACACATGTGTGAGCAACTGCTTAAAATAAGTGCTAAGACATATCAGATATTCCTTTCTTTCCTCAGGCCGCTGCTAGTATTAGCAAGTTTACTTCATTTTCAAAATATAGAATATGGAAGTTTATAGAATTTCTTAGGCACACGCACAGCCTACTGCCAAATATTTTAGTTCATTTCATGTCTTCAATTTCATTTTAGACAGTAATTAAAAACATGTAACTAAGGAAATCACTTGGTTCTCTTTTAACCTCACTACCCATTGAAGGAGGCCAGGCTTCACATTAGCACAAGATGATTACTGAATTATTACTGAATTACTATAAATTATTTTTATATCAGAATAAAGAACTTTTCTATTGAGGGCTCTACTTACCTCTGGTTTATAATAACGTTGAGTATATGTTAGATCAAGAATCAGTCCAAGTTCTTCATTTTGTTCTCAGATTTTGTTACAAAGAACCAAAGGGGAAAAGCATTCTTCTGGAGCAAGTTTCTTTTCAAAACTCTGTGAGAGAGAAAGAAATCAGAGCAAATATGTGCTTAAAATCCTGTATTACATTAGGCGTTTATTCAAGTCCTGTGATGCTAACATACAATGAGATTCAAAGGAAAGTTTCCATTCTCCTAAAATGGAGACTCTTTCTTCCAGAGTGATCACAAGGAAAAAAACTAAGCCCACTTCGATATTTATTTTTGTATTTGTTTTATGTTAAGTCTCCTAATCAGACTGTAAACTCCCAGATTTTAATCACCACTTTATCTCCAGCTCCAAGTGGAGTGCCTATCATATTTGGTGCTTATCAGTATTTCTTTTTTTTGAAACAGGGTGTTGCTGTGTCATCCAGGCTGGAGTGCAATGGCACAAATATGGCTCACTGTAGCCTCCACTTCTGGGACTCAAGCAATTCTCCCACCCCAGCCTCCCAAGTAGCTGGGACTACAGGCATGAACCACCACGCCTGGACTTTTTTTTTTTTTAAAGAGATAGGGTTGGCCAGATGCGGTGGCTCATGCCTGTAATCCCAGCACTTTCAGATGCTAAGGCAGGTCACGAGGTCAAGAGATTAAGACCATCCCGGCCAACATGGTGAAAACCTATCTCTACTAAAAAAAAAAAAAATACAAAAAATTAGCCTTGTCTGGTGGCATGTGCCTGTAGTCCCAGTTACTCAGGAGGCTGAGGCAGGAGAATCACTTGAACCTGGGAGGTGGAAGTTGCAGTGAGCTGAGAGCGCACCACTGCACTCCAGCTCTGTCTCAAAAACAAAAACAAAAACAAAAAATGAGATACGGTTTTGTCATTTTGCCCAGGCTCATCTCAAACTCCTGAACTCAAGCAATCCTGTCTCAGCCTCACAAATAAATATTTCTTATATGTCTACATATAGGAAGGATGGACTTCATTGCTAAATATTCTTTAATGTATTTGGCTTATTTTTTAACTTTGTGCTCTGTTCCTTCAATCTGTCTGGCTGTTCAGGTGCCAGCAACATACTTTTTAAAAAATACCCTAGTTTTCAGAGCAATTTTAGGTTCACAGCAAAACTGAGTGAAAACAACAGTTCCCACATGTACCTTCCCTCCCCCACACCACCCAGACTCCCCACTATCCACATTCCATACCAGTGTGGTGCATTTGCTACAACTGAAGAACCAACTTTGACACATCATTATCACCAAAGTCTAGAGTTTAGGTATGCATGATTCATTCTGTGTTGTGCATTATGTGTACATATTATGTTATGCATATTTTGCCACAAAAAAGCGAAAGAACTTAGTTCAAGTTTTGATTCTCTTTTTCTGAGCTGCTTCATTATCTATAGAATTATTTATTAGTTGTAACCATCTATCCTCTGAGCTAGGGCAGAATAAGCACTCAAGAAGAGATATTAGTACTACTGCTACTTCATCAGCAGAGGATTGTTGTGAAATATGTTACCATATAGGAAACCCTTTTATGGGTTTTGATCTATCTATAATGACATGTTTCTACCCTTATAGTATCATACAAAATAGCTTCACCTCCCTGAAAACTCCCTGTACTTCCAACACCTTTTCTTTTTTTTTTGGAGACAGTGTCTCGCTCTGTGGCCCAGGCTGAAGTGCAGGGGCATGATCATGGCCCACTGCAGCCTTGACCTCCTAGGCAAAATCAATCCTCCCACCTCAGCCTCTTGAGCAGCAGAGACCACAAGCACACACCACCATGTCCAGTTAATTTTTGTATTTTTTGTAATCAGGGTTTCACCGTGTTGCCCAGGCTGGTCTAAAACTCCTAAACTCAAGCGTGGCCTCCCACCATGGCCTCCCAAAGTACTGGGATTACAAACATGATCCACCGGGCCTGGCCTGAAATGACTCACTTTTAAGCCCAGAAATGCAGAGAAGCTGATACAGCAGTTGAAAAAGGAAATCTGATCTATAAGTCACAAATTAAGTAAATTCCCAAAATGTTTCCAGTGGACTTCCCTGATACTAACCTCTGCTATGCTGGGGAAGTCTAAGAAGACACAGAATCCAGAAAACAATATTTGTCTTCACCTTCTCATTTTTTGTTTGTTTGTTTTTGTTTTGTTTGTTTCCTTCTTTACTTGGAACCTTCTCATCCTTTTTTATGGCTGTCAAAAGCTGTCCCCTCCTATTCCTTTCATAGTTCAAAAAAAAACACACACACAATCTTGAGATTTTCCACACTGAAACCCTAACGTTGATGATCCAGGGCATATTTTTTATTTTGACTATGGGAGGAAAAGAAGCCACTGACATTCAGTGGGTAGGGGTTACAAATTCTAGACAGCTTGCCAAATTCAGAACAGTCCTACAGATGTGTCCCACAACCTGAATGGCTTTTGAATGCCCTATTCAACATTAATATAGATAAAAAGCTGTTCATATTTAGCTTGGCCTTAGAACCTAACTCCATTTCACAAATAAACACAAATTTTTTTTTACAATTTTAATATATATTTAATTTGCCAGAATAATAATCACCTTATCAACAAAGTGAAGACTATACTTTGTTTTGTTTGGAAATCTATCACAGAAAGTGCTACCAGTAAGGCAATATCAGCCACCTAGATCAGTCTACATTTGTAGTTCTTGAACTGAAGGCACAGGCAACTATTACCCTATGTCTTATAATGCAGTCATGTCCAAACATTTATATATTGAAATACATATTACTTTACTTCAAATTACTTTTATTTTATTCTTTATATTATAGCTAGGGTGTGAATTGGTATTTTTCTTTGAAATATGGAAGCAGGCTGTATGTGCCTATGAACTTCATCTCAGGATAGAAAGGGATCATTACAAAGTATTTGCTATAAAAAGAGAATATGGAATGTGATAGAACTGAGAACAGTGTTCTGCATGGTGAATTTAGATGTCTGAAATTAATACTGAATTAACTTTTGCTTACCTACTGCAAAGGAACTTCAAAAGCAATGAAACGAGTCCCAGGCATCCGATGGCCAGTTGGGAGATAGTCTTCCACCTATTACATATATTTTTTGTTAGCCAAATTGTGCCTTGTCTCCTTGCACAGAATAAGACTTCTTGAAAATGAGAATCACAGCCCACATCACATGTCCTCTCTTCTCTCTGCTTTGCATTTCGCCACTCCACTTATTCAACCCCACCAAGTAACGACCTATACTGTCTTTCTCCCGTTTCCCATCATCAAAATGGAAACACAGCAACAAAACAGCACAAAGTGACTATCAAATAAGGCCTATATAAAAAAGAGATACCCAGAATTTCTATATCCCTGATAAAACTTAGCCGAGTACCAGATACTAAAGTGCCATTAACACAAACATATTCACTGAAATAATTCAAATTCTATTATTTCACTTCATGGTTTTAGTTTTCATACAACTGATGTCATCAAGTTCAATTACTATGAAACCTCAAGTTCATAGTTTAAGAGAAAACCTGCTAGGAGAAGGACTGTGAACTTCACTTAATAATGCTAAGAATTACAGTGAAAAGCAGAATGAGTCAGAATTAATGGCCATGAGCAGTGGCTCACGCCTCAAGGTGGGAAAACCACCCGAGGTTGGAAGTTCAAGACCAGCTTGAGCAACACAGAGAAACCCATCTCTACCAATAACAACAACAACAACAACTACAAAAATTAGCCAGGCATGGTGGCACATGCCTATAATCCCAGCTACTGAGGAGGCTGAGGCAGGAGAAACACCTGAACCTGGGAGGCAGAGGTTGCAGTGAGCCGAGATCACACCATTGCACTCCAGCCTGGGCAACAAGAGCAGAACTCCATCTCAAAAACAAAAACAAAAAAAAAAAAAAAAAAAATTAACTAGGGTTAATTCAGTATATAAGAAGCACAGAAAGTGAGGACAAGCAAGAGATGGGGCTGGAGAAGGAGAGAGGATCCCAGATCATGTGCAGCCTCATACTACAGACAAAAAGGAGTTCATTTTTACCCTTAAAAAAATTTTTTTTAAATTTTATTTATTGATTTTAAGACAGAGTCCCACTCTGTCGCCTGGCTGGAGTGCAGTGGCATAATCTCTGCTCACTACAACCTCCACCTCCTAGTTTAAGCCATTCTTGTGCCTCAGCATCCCAAGTAGCTAGGATTACAGGTGCCTGCCACCATGCTCAGCTAATTTTTAAATTTTTAGTAGAGGCAGGGTTTCTTCATGTTGGCTAAGCTGGTCTTGAACTCCTGACCTCAACTGATCAAGCCTACTTAAGCCTCCCAAAGTGTGGGGATTACAGGTGTGAGCCACCATGTCCAGCCCTTTTTTACTCTTAAAACAATGTTAAGAGCAGTGCTCATGAGCAATATTCCAATTCCAATTCTATTTCAATTTTTAGTAATTACCTGTTAAATAGATTTCTTCTTGGCCAGGTGCAGTGGCTCATGCCTGTATGCCCCGAATTTTAAGAGGCAGAGGCAGGTGAATTGCTTAAGACCAGGAGTTAAAGAACAGCCTAGGCAACATGGCAAAACCCCACCTTTACAAAAAAAAAAAAATACAAAATATAAAAATTAGCTGGGCATGGTGGTGCACGCCTGTAGACTCAGCTAACCAGGAAGGCTGAGGTGGAAGGATCAAAAAAGTCTGGGAGGCTGAGTTGCAGTGAGCTATGATTTTGCCACTGCACTCTAGCTTTGGTGACACAGCAAGACCCTGTCTCAAAAAAAAAAAAAAAAAAAAAAAGATTTGTTATTGTTGTTAAGAACAGTTTGGGCAAGGTACAGTGACTCACACCTGTAATGTCAGCACTTTGGGAGGCCCACAGGGGTGGATCAGCCGAGGTCAGGAGTTCTAGACAGGCCTGACCCACATGGTGAAACACCATCTCCACTAAAAATACAAAAAAGTTAGCTGGGTGTGGTGGCGGACAACTATTATCCCATGAACTTGGGAGTCTGAGACAGGAAAATTGCTTGAACTGGGGAGGTGGAGCTTGGGGTGAGCAGAGATCAGGCCATTGCAATCCAGCCTGAGGGACAAGAGCAAAACTCTGTCTCAAAAAACAAACAAACAAAAACCACAATGGACCATAAGAAAACAAACAGGAGATGCAGTAATTAGAACCCAATTGAAACAGGTCAGGCAAGACCTGTATTAGGGGGCTGACAGAAGGTGACAGTCAAAAGATAGGACATAATATGTAGAGGATTTACTGAGGTATGAGATGGTGGAGGATGGTCTCAAGGAGTAAAAACAGTTCTCTGCACATACGTGCAAAGTCTCAAAATTAATCATTTCTACGTATAAAGGAACATCTCTCAAATGAGGCCTGTTAGGACCTAACAGCGTATGCCCTTTGTGATTTCTGAAAACAATACAAACGAACTTTCTATGTAAGATCTCAGGGCACTACTACAGCTGGGTTCCTAACCCAAATCATTATACTATCCGTGCCAAGTAACAAGGAATTGAGGAGGTTCTATTTTGGGAATTAAGGAGTGTCCCCAAAAGTAACAGTCCTGCCTTAAAGCAATTCTTCCGTATTTCACTGAAGAGCACTGGCCAGAACCTCGCTTTTACAAGAATAAGGAGAAATGACAGGACATCACAGACATTGCCCCTTTCAGCAGGTGGCGAAGAGGGTCAAAGCCTCAAAGCAAGGGGTGGACAAGCCAAGCTTGTGACAGCAAAAGTGAGACGCAGAGACCACAAAAGATGAAGCCCATACCCAGAAGCCATGAGCTGGAAAGGCCATGCCAAGGGCCCAAGACATATTACCTTTTGGGGATGTGGTTTCCGCTCTTCTTCTTGGACCAGGAGCGTCCAGGAAAGTCGCGTCCCTGACCCCAACCACAGCGAGGATGGTGCCATTGGCTCCTGTGGGTTCCAAAAGCCGCCCACCCAATGCCAAGCTGGCCAAAAGCGCCAGTCCGGCACCCTCAGTGCCAGGATAAGACCCCAGACCTAAAGAGACTTGGAAGCCACCCACGCAGAGCTCGGGCATCACACTATTAGCCATGTTAGTCCTGATGGCGTAACTGCGTAGACTTACTGAGAGGCTTGATTTGTACAGAAGACTTTGGTGGTTACAGCGCCCTCTTTAGCCAGAGGCCGGTTACCACAGGTGAATGAGGGCGTGTATGCACCCTTCAGAATTCAGTGTGGCACAGGGAAGTCCCTCTGTCCCTGCCCTGTACCTCCCCCGAGCACCCCTCCCAGTCCTGGTGTGTTCTAGATATTTACAAGTGCTTACACTCACATTTTGCACATTGTGTATAAATATTTACTTTCACACATATGTATGTCCTCTATTTTTATACTAAAGGAGCGACTAAACATATTCTACACTGTATCTCGAACACTGATTTTCCTAGTCAATTTATACATACTTACATTCTATTTTTTAGTGGTCATAGGGAATTTATTGGATTACGAGTAACGTAATTAAAAGTACCATAATGTATTCAGCCAGTTCAATGTTAATGGACCTTTTGTTGTTTTCAGGTTCTTTTGAAATCTTGTTACAGAAAATGCTGCAATGTGAACATCCTTATACACATATACAGCTATATCTAAATTCCTAGAAGTAGAATGTCTAGAATAGAAAACATACAAACTTAAAATTCTGAAAGATACTACCTAATTATCCTCCAAAAATAATGCACAAACATCCACTCCCATCACAGCTAAACTTTTACTGGGTTCTATCACATAGCAGGTATCATGCTAGAAGTGGAAAGAATGTAGTTAGGTTTTAGCAAATACCAAAAATAACCAAAAGTGGAGCTCAAGTCCAAGGTTTCCACACAGTCTCAAGCACAAAGATCTGTACCTGTTAGAAGAACGTTGAATTCTGCTACAAGTGGAACAGCAAAGAAACAGCATGCCCTATAGTAGCTCTGAAAACAGAATAGAATACTAAATTCCAGATTAAACTCTAAGTAATTAGGATTGCAGATTTTTAAAAGTAACTTTTACTTCTTTCTATTTTATGGATGTATCTTACATATATTTTTAGTAATCTTTGCAATCATTTTAGAATTTGGTGAACCAAGGATCAGAAAGGTCAGAGTTATTAAATAAATGAATATTAATAGAGCTAGGCCACTAGATTTATTAATACTTTTGAGACAATAATATTCCAATACATAAACATATACAATTCTGAAAATTTCCACATCATTAAAAATGTGTCAACATACATAAATTGCTAGCTGGTGAAAGAAAAAGATATGTTAGCCGCAAATAGCAAATTTGCAATTAGGAATATTCAGTTATTTGTTGTTGCTGTTGTTGTCATTGTTGACAGAGATCTTGCTTTGTCACCCAGGCTGGAGTGTAGTAGCACGATCTCAGCTCACTGCAACCTCTGCTTCCTGGGTTCAGATGATTCTCTTGCCTCAGTTTCTTGAGTAGCTGGGACTACAGGCCCAGGCCATCAGACTCGGCTAATTTTACTATTTTTAGTAGAGATGGGGTTTCACCAAGTTGGCCAGGCTGCTCTTGAACTCCTGACCTCAAGTGAACTGCCTGCCTTGGCTTCCCAAAGTTCTGGGATTACAGGCATGAGCCACCACACCCAGTCCACATTCAAATTTGACATTAAATTACACAATATTTTGGCCAGGCCCAGTGATCCCGGCCTGTAATCAAAGCACTTTGAGAGGCAGAGGTGGGTGCATCACTCGAGGTTAGGAGTTTCAGACCAGCCTGGCAAACACAGTGAAAACCCATCTCAAATAAAAATACAACACTCAGCCCCAAAATTAGCCAGATGTGGTGGCTCACAGCTGTAGTCCAGGCTACTTGGGAGGCTGAGGCAGGAAAATGGCTTGGACGCAGGAGGCAGAGGTTGCAGTGAGCCAGGATCACACCAGTGACCTCCAGCCTGGGCGACAGAGGGAGACTCCATCTCAAGAAAAAAAAAAAAAAAAAAAAGATCAATTCGGGTATCTCTAATACCCTACCACCAAGGAAAAATATTATATCCATAGATTTCCTACCCCAAACCAGAAATCACCAGCAACTCAGCCCTAACTCATTTATCACAGTCATAAGAGAAGTTAGTGAGAAAAGCACTAACTAGGAAAACAAAAACCAAGGCAATCCAGGTCAACTTGAGCTGACTGCAGACATCTCTTTCTTTGCTTGAGCGCACAGCACAACTCACCACAGCGCCTTTTCCACACACCCCTTTTGATTTCCTCCACAAAACCTATCAGGTCAAGATAGTTCATGATGTCTCAAAAGAAATAACCATTATGAGAAAAATGTGCACTATGTCTTGCAATGTTGTATTCCTTAAAAATATGACAGGGAAAAAACATGTATAAAAACCGGGGCATTTAAAAGCAACCTACAGGTCTGGCATGGTGGCTCACGCCTATAATCCCAGCACTTTGGGAGGCTGAGGTGGGCAGATCACCTGAGGTCAGGAGCCAACATGGCAAAACCTTATCTCTACTAAAAATACAAAATTTAGTCAGGCATGGTGGCGGGCACCTGTAATCCCAGCTACTCAGAAGGCTGAGGCAGGAGAATCGCTTGAACCCAGGAGGTGCAGGTTTCAATGAGCCGAGATCCTGCCACTGCACTCCAGCCTGGGACACAAGCGTAAAATGCTGTCTCAAAAATAAATAAATAAATAAAAATAATAAAATAAAAGCAATCTACATTCTATAGACATACTAAGGAATGAAATAAATGAGGCAATATGACATAAAACAAAATGGAAAATATGATTATTTTCTTCAGTGTACAAAAGTCATGGAAGTTTCTGGACTATCTAGCTACATACAAAGTACTGAATTATCTGTTCTGTTAATACCAAATAAGGGTGTGTCATTGTTTCCCACAGAAATCAAAAAAGCCACACAAATCTCTTTGTTCCTATCACTCAACTGGCCTATTCCCTGTTCTCCACTAAATCAACTCTTCATTTTGCCTGGCCCTTGCACCCAAGCATGGCCGACAGGGAATTCTAAAGCCCCAAGATTCCACAGTGGCTGTTTGCAATGGAGAGGAGGCTATAAGTAACTGCCACACTGGATCCTCTCACGTCAGAAGAAAGAAAGTACCCTGAATGCCTCTCACGTATAAAAGAGAAGGATGGCAGGATGTCTGTGTGGCCCAAAGGTAGCAAACTATGGGCAACAGAATTGTAAACAAAGGCTAGAAGAGGGAAGGTCTACAGTCAGCCCTGTCTTCTACCTCCCTGGTGTTTGCTTCTCATGAGCAGAGTTTGTTTTCCAAACGTCACGACACGGAAAAGAAGACCCCTGTTCTGGAAGTTGACAGGAAGTTATACCCACGACTGTAAAAATGCAAGATCAAGGCTTGGCCCAGAAACAATGCCTAAAATCAAGTAGAAAAAAGAAGAGCAGAAGAGAGATCCAAGTCCAACCTGGCCCACCCTGGGCCAGCCCAAGGAATGTAGGATTCAAGGAGAAGAAATTAAAAGAGAGGAGCTTTGGACCACATCATTTCCTACCAGGGGCAGTCAATGAAGTTAGCTCTTCAGTCAAGGTACAAAAGAAGGCTCTTTAATCTCTTCATCTGGCCCTTAAAAGCAGCAGTAAATTCTTTAATCAGATTCACTGAAATGCTTTTAGAACAACTGTAACTGCTCAGCTGAGATGTCCCTTTCCTTTCTCTGCAGGGTACTTTGTACGTACTATACAATTATCAATGTACAGTATTATGTACTATGAAATATGACATATAAAATACAAATACTAGTCAATAATATAAGTGAACATGTATAAGAAACACCGAGATGATCTTGCAGGATGTCACCTCCCTGGAACTCAGCCACTTGGTACTGTTTCAGCTTTCCTACCACCTCTGCCAGCCAATCCCATCTTCCTGAGAATCTGGCCTCCCTATTGGCTATTGCACACCTTTAAACTGCCTGCTCTGTGACATCATTCTCTCACCAAGCCTATTGCCAGCTGGTAGAATCTTGGGGTAGCCTATAAATTTGTATCATCGCAGGTGGCCAGTGACCAGTGTGACCGGTGGCCTCCATACTGGACACATTCACTCCTTGGCTTCAGCCACCCAGACATCCACTAGGATCGTCTCTTCATCCCTTGAATCTACAGTTGATGTTTCTTCTTCTCTGACCATGTCAGGTAAAGAGAGAACCTTTCTTGACAGTTTTTCATTTGACTTCTTTCCCCCAACTTTAGATTTCTTTACCCCTATAGTCCCAAACAGCTTGGAATAACAGGGAACGTATTCAAGTAGAAATCTAGAGACCTCATTTCAGTTTTGGCTTTGACAGTTACTAGCTGTGTGACTTTACAGGACTCTTTTGTTCTCTCACAAAATCTATTCCCTCATCTGTTACATTAGGATAATAGATTGGTTATTCACTCTTGCCCCTTTCTTTTCTAATGCTGAGTCTAACAGGGCACACGTACAGAAAATGAAATCAGACACTTTTTGAGGGTGTTTGTTTCAATAGAAACAGAAAGAAAACCTAAGTGGCATAGAAAACTAGCAACATATTCTGTGGCGGTTCATGTGTAATAGTCTCCCTCCACTAATATTTCAACTTCACTATTTTAAATTTAGTGATGTTTTACATATTCAGCCAGGCACGGTGGCTCACACCTGTAATCTCAGTGCTTTGGGAGGCTGAGATGGGAATATCACTTGACCCTAGGAGTTCGAGACCAGTCTGGGCAACATTGCAAGACCCCATATCTACAAATTTAAAAAAAATTGGCCAGGTGTGGGGCATGCCAGGTACTCAGAAGGCTGAGGTGGGCAGATGAGTTGACTGTTTGAGGCCAGGAGGTTCAGACTGCAGGTGTGAACATTGCTCCATGTCCCCACCACTGGACTTCTGCCTGTGTGATGAGGCCAGACCCTGTCTCAATCAAATAAACAAACAAACAAACATAATATTCATGCTCTGGAGATTCCTTTCTGAACAAAATGGAAAGAGAAAATGAAGAGTACTGGGTTATAAGGAGGCAGATATTCTATGGTAAGGAATTTGGGATTTAAAATGAAAGCAGAAAGACCGGGTCCCCTACACTTACCCTTGGGAGTGCTCTGGAGAATTACACAATGATTTCAAAAGAAAAAAGTGTATTTTAAATTTTGGAAGAAAAGCGCAAAGGCAACAGAGTGAAATCTATTCAGAATAGGGCAAAATGAAGTTGGTTTTAGCAAAGGCTTAGATCAATAACCTAGGAAGGAAACAGGATAGAATAGAGCATCCCTAGATAAAGCAGCTTATCAGAAGGCACATTCAGTTGTTTTTTTCTGTTGCCCTTTTGAACATAGATGACACTTGACAGTTTAAACATTTTAGAAATGTGTTTGAGAAATGACGCTTCCAGGCCGAGCATGGTGGCTCACCTCGTAATCACAGTACTTTGGGAGGCCGAGGCAGGCAGATCACTTGACGGCAGGAGTTCGAGGCCAGCCTGGCAAACATGGTGAAACCCTGTCTCTATTAAAAATATAAAAAATTATCCAGTTGCAGTCGTGGGCACCTATACTCCCAGCTACTCGGGAGGCTGAGGCATGAGAATTGCTGGAACCCAGGAGGCAGAGGTTGCAGTTAGCTGAGGTCAAGTCACTGCACTCCAGCCTTCATGACAGAATGAGACTCTGTCAAAAAAGAAACACACACACACACACACACACACACACAACCATTTCCTCTGAAACTATTAGGTAGTATTTTGACTTAGGATAAAAAGCCAAGCTTGAAGAGGGCAAAGAACGACCGTTCTGATTTACCAATGGCCTGGCTTAAAGGTAAACACTAGGCAATGTCACATGATCTGTAGAAGCAAAATGTGACAGTAAGGATTATAAAAGTAATAGCTGTACTATATTCTCGTAGGCCACAATTGCCATATTAAAAGTTCTATTTCTCCTGGTTTCTGGTCTACGCTCAGAGAAGAGTCCTGTCAAAGAAGTCATGGTAATGATATTAACCTAATGGTAAATCCTAAACAGGTCAATCTGACCTCTCTCAGCCCATCTTAGAACTTCTCTAAGGACGTCCCAGTTCTAAAATGCTCCAATTCTAGGAAATAGGAGTCAGCACTCACCCAGATTCAAGGGAAAGACAGGGAAGGGAGAAGGTTGCTTCTAGCCTAGGAAATAACATATGAACCCAGACCTCTTGGGTCTTCTGCACATCTGTGCCAAAACTGGACACAAAGACAGTTCATCAGAAGAGGACCAAACTGCTTCAGCACTCATGGCCATCGTAAAGTGTTTGGCTTTTGGTATCTCAGTGAGTATCGGTATTAGAGGCTTCCTGATGGCAACAACCTTAAGATGATGCTGTTCTTCAGATAAGGTGACATTTTCTCAATCTCACCAGTTTGTTCATCTCTCTTCTTTCCTACAGAACATTTCAAAATACCTCTTTACTTGGAACTGCAAATTCTCTGCAGCTCTCTCTTCCTGTGGTGAGCAATAAGGCTTCCCTAACAGGAAACATCTCCAGCTTCTCCAGAGCCTCTGCTCCAGCTGTTAGCTCAGCATGGCTACTGCCATCAGCCTCTGGCACCTCTTTCCAGCCACTCACGGGCACTGTCTACCTTTACCAACATTCTAGGACAGCTATGTTGTCTGGGGTTAGTGGCCAGAGCCATAGCTCTACTTCAGCTGCCTCTTACCCAGGCATTTTTGAGTGGGACATTACAGCAAAGACAGCAAAGAAGTCACCCTCACTCAGGGACTTCAATGTGACTGTCACTAACCAGAACACAGCTGTCTCTTCCATGTCTATGACAGCCCGGCATAATAAAACTTCACATGCCAATATTATAGTCCCTCTGTATCCAACACTATCTACCAGTCTTGTTCAGGGGACATAATCTAAAATCACTAATCAGCAGGGCCATAGCCTGTCACTTCCCTACCAGAAAGGAAGGCAGGTCTATTACTATAATCCTGGCACACTGGGGCCTCAACTATCTGGAGAACTTGGCCCTGGGCTGCAATCCTATGGCTCTGCATCATACCCAGGAAATAGGGCCTCTGCCCATCAACCAGAAATGGTGATGGTGCTACAGGAGGTTCAGCCCACAAAAGTTCGACTACCAGTCTCCACTTCCGGGATGCATTACTCTGTGTCTGCTCAACCCAGCACAGAAACCAGTTTTCAAGGTGAGTACAAACAGCAAGAAAGGAGAACAATAAATACAGCACTGAAAGGGAGGGTCAAATCTATAGCTGAGTGGTAAGTCCACGGGCAGGTAGAATTTAAGTCCTGAGACTTCAACCACTATTCTTGGGCATTGCTCTCCATTTTCAGAGTCTACCTAAGAACACCTTCTAAGTGGGAAAGTGGAACACTGTAATGGTCATATATGCCACATTTAAGAGAGTCAAAAGAGATACCACACTTTTTAGCGCACTGGCTGATCCGTTCTCCTGCACCAGACGCTGTAACTTCCTTCCTGAATCTATTACTTCAGCCTCCTTGGAAGGCACTTCAGAAGTCTTATCTTGGCAGTGACCTTCTGATTTTCCTTAACTTACAGTAGGATTTAAGACCTTTTGCTCAGAGATTCTCCCCAAAACAAACAGGCTCAGAGTCTGTGCTTGCTTATGTATTTCAAGAGGGAGGGCTCCACTCTCTCCCCTAGTCCATGGTGTAAAGGGTTACCCTATATGAGAATGTGAGGCTTTATAAATCATCTCCTATTTAAAAATCACTTTGACTTTTTATTTGGCTTACAACAACCCTATGAAATTCAAAGAAAGCCAAGAAACAATCACATAAAATGATAAGCAGTAAGAGAACAGTCACTGCCTATCCCCTAATGCACAGTCTTGTCCATGACCCTGAACAAGAGCCAACAGAAATTCTTGCCCATGTTAGAAAGGTATGTAATTGCTGTATTTGTATGTAGGGGGACATCTCACTTACCAGGGATTGACTTCCTCCTTGATTCCTTTGTAGTGATGGAAACTTCCCTGGGGATGGATACTTCCCTGGGATTGCAATCTGCAAGCCAGACATTGTGTCTGGCACAAACTCCAGAATTCTCCAAGTCCTGCAGTACCCGAAATACCCAGATACTTGAGAGTAATCCATCACCTGAGCTTGGGGACATTTCAACGATAGCTCAAGTCCAGAGTCCAACCAGTCTCTTGACAGTGTCTCCAGCTCCAAGCCAGGACAAAACCAAGACTAAGGATTTGGATGAGATTAAAACCAAGATTTCAAAGCCTCTAGATGCCTACTGGTTCCCAACAGAAAATCAAGATCCTCCACTTCTTCCTCTAGAAATCCCTGATATTCACCAGCTTCTATGCTGCATTGATCCTCTTGGCCTAGGGGAGCAGCCTGGTTCTGAAAATGCCAATCTGGGAAAGAACAGCCTGAGTCTTCAGGGCCAAGGGATACTTGAAAATGGGACTGAGTCTAGCAGTGACCCTGCAGACGTCACTACATTGGTGGAGGATACTCACCTCCCCTCCATCTTCAGTTCCTTACAAGATCTTGACCAACCCAAAAGTCCCTCTGCAAAGAAAGCCAAAGATCCCAGCACCATCAAGGTAAATCAGGTGCAGAAAAAGTCAAGTTCCATTAAGGGCCACTCTGATCAAGTCAGGAAGAACAAGCATAAAGCTGCCGAGCCTATCCAGGGTGCTCCCAAGGCCAAAATCCAGCCAAAGAATCCAGAGAGCCTATTAGAGGGAGAAGTGGATGTTTGCAGGGCTACCGCCAGTGACAGCGCTTCTGTGAGCAAGGGTAAGCGTTCTAGCAACAAACGTCACAAAGCCACATCCAGCAGAGGCAGCACAACTAAGAGGCATGGGCAGGAGAAGACCAAAAGGAGCAGAGAGAACAGCGCCAAGAAATCTGAAGTCAGTAAGCAGTCAGGGACCAAAGTCAACGTAGAAGAGAAGCAAGCCATTCCCAATAGGAAGCGGAAGAAAAATCAACCTGAGCTTAGCCAAGAGACCTTCAAAAAGCCACGAAGCTCCCTAGGCATGCACATGCTGGAGTCTGTGCAAGTTTTCCATGCACTGGGGAAAAAAACTGACAAGAAAACTGGATTCTCTTCCTCCCGGACTCCGGGAAGCTCAACCAACACCGAGAACTCCCAGCCATTCTCAGCTTTCCAACCATGGCTGGATACCCGACATGAGAGGAAAGGCCCAGAGAAAACTCAACTCAAGGCCCAGAAACTGGATGATAATGCTGAAAAAGAGTGTCCATCTCCATCCCTGTATGAGTTGCCACCACCTGGGAAGGTCAAGTTGGTACCGTTGCCCTTTCTGACCCCGGACAAACCTCAAGCTCAACCTGTTTCTTGGCGGCCGCACCCTCCGGCCTCACGTAGGCCTGTGGTGGCTTGCTCTGCTCCACCTGTTTCTACTAACTCAGCTCAGTCAACTGCAGTCGATCCGTCACAACCGGCTCCTACCAACACATCTTTGACAGGTCCTGCCAGACCAGCTCAGCCAATTTCAACCAATGCAACCAAACCCGGTTCAGCCAATCCTAAACATCCTCCTATTGCCTCTCATTCTGCTGCTTCTAGGCCAGCACCCTACAAAACATCATCTTGCTCTTCTCTCCAGCGGGAGCCTGTTTCCACTGCTGTGACCAATCTCCAGTCACTGCCCAAGCCTCAAAATCCATTTCTAATCCAAGACTTCAGCTCACAACCCAGGCCGTGGAAGACACCCGACATTTCTGGGCCAGTAGTGTCAACGCCCATCACAAAAGAGCAGAGGCCAGAACGTGAGGCCATGAAGAGGAAGACTCAGCAAGAGCGTGAGAATGCTGCCAAATACACCTGTCTGGGAAAACCACAGTTCTTCACCTAACAGGAAAAAGATACGGCAATTTCTCAATACTACAGCTCCAGAATCTAAGAGCTGCTGAGACTGTTGGCTTTACTTTGGATACCAGCTGGTTTTCCAAATAAATAGATACTAATTTATTCATTCTGATAATATATTTTTAAAACTTAATAAAGAAATCTAAAACAATTAATAGATAAGTAATAAAGAGGCTTTTGAGTTTTGAGATGCTGTTGACTGTGGGTTTTCTTTGGTGGGGTGGGGATCAAAGGCTGCCTTGGAAGGAATTAGGGCTGGGAGCGGTGGCTCATGCCTGCAATCCCAGCACTTTGGGAGGCCAAGGTGGGTGGATCACCTGAGGTCAGGAGTTGGAGACCAGCCTGGCCAACCCAGCCTGCCCAACACAGCAACACGATGAAACCCCATCTCTACTAAAAATACAAAAAAGTAGCTGGGTGTGGTGGTGGGTTCCTGTAGTCCCAGCTACTGGGGAGGCTGAGGCATGCGAATTGCTTGAACCCTGGAGGCATAGTTTGCAGTGAGCTGAGATCACACCACTGCACCCCAGCCTGAACAACAGAGTGCAACTCCATCTCAAAAAAACAAAAACAAGGAACTAAAACTTGGATGAGAGAATATACAGCAGAATTGAGGAAAGAGGAAGGCATGTGGTCCAGAACTAAGAAGGTCAAAAGGGGAGAGATTTCATGGGCTATACAAAGAATCAGAAATGGGGGAAATGGCAGAAGTAAGATGCAGAATCTGAGGTTAGGACTAAAAGAATAAAATTTGGATGAAGTTGAAGATGGCAGAAGTTAAGGCTGGGTGGACCACAGCAATGTAGAAAATCTCCCATGGATGATGGCCTTATGTCTCATAACCTATCAGATAGGTGTTTTAGAAAATAAGATTCAGGATTCATCTCCAACAGGTTTGGGTTACCTTATACATATATAACTGCAGTACAAAACAGGGGAATCTACCACCAGGGAAATGGCAAGGACTCACAGTTCTAGGTGCAGCTGATAACCTGCACCCAGCCAAGTGAACTGCAGCAGCTTGAATCTGACCCAGAAAAGACCCTGGAGTACAGATCACCATTGACTCAACACCTATGCACGGGCCAGTGAGATGCACTACTTCAGTTCACCTTCACAACCACACACAAGACCAGTAACACTGTGCCACGTTCCTAGTGAGGTTCAGCAATGGGCTCGGGTCACACTGCATGCAAGGGGGTAAGGCCTGTGGGTCTCCGAAGTCCTCAGCGTTTGCGAGGGCCTGCAGGCAGCCAAGCTGGCTTTCAGACCACGGCATCCAGAAGTTACAGGCAGACGAACTGAAGCTTCCGGAGGTATTTAAATATTAAGAGGCCCGCCAGATCCTCCTCCTCCATCCATTCCAGCATATGCAACCTTCTCGGCCAACACCATTAACTGAAGTACACGAGAAAAAAACGGCTGGGAACCTCCATTTTCACCGGATGTGGTGGGCGCGCATGCGCCCTGGGTCGCCCTCCAAAAGCTGCAAGACGCAGGCGCTCAATGTGCTGAGATGCTCCATAGCGGGTGGGGACCCCGCCTCTAGGCACCGCGATAACTAGAAAGGGTTGGGGGCGGTAGGAGAAGGCAGGAGAGGAACGGGTGGGGGAAGGGAAGATGAGGCCAGTGGACGGTCACCGTGAGAAAAATCAGGACTTTAGTTTTTTAAAAATTAGTTTGTGATATATAATTCACCTAATATAAAATTCACTGTTTGCTGGGCGCGGTGGTTCACGCCTGTAATCCCAGCACTTTGGGAGGCCGAGGCGGGTGGATCAGGAGGTCAAGAGATTGAGACCATCCTGGTCAACATGGTGAAACCCCGTCTCTACTAAAAATACAAAAAAATTAGCTGGGCATGGTGGCGCGTGCCTGTAATCCCAGCTACTCAGGAGGCTGAGGCAGGAGAATTGCCTGAACCCAGGAGGCTGAGGTTGCAGTGAGTCGAGATCGCACCATTGCACTCCAGCCTGGGTAACAAGAGCGAAACTCCGTCTCAAAAAAAAAAAAAAAAAAAAAAAAAGCCGGGCGTGGTGGCGGATGCGTGTACAGATACTCCGGAGGCTGAGGCAGGAGAATGGCTTCAACCCGCCTGGCCGAGGTTGCGGTGAGCCGAGATGGCGCCACCGCACTCCAGCTTGGGTAACAAGAGCAAAACTCAGTCTCAAAATTAAAAAAAAAAAAAACCACACAGAAAATTGTACAGTTCAGGGGCATTTAGTATGTCACAAGGTTGTACAATCACTACAACTATCTGAGCCATTACATTTTCATCATCCCCTGCAAATAAAAAAAAAAAAATTCCTCTACCCATTAGCAGTCTACTCCTCATTCCCTCTTCCGTCTGGCCCCAGGCAACCACCAATCTCTGGATTTACCTTTTCTGAACGTTTCATATAAATGGAATCATACAATATGTGACTTTTGGTATCTGGGTTCTTTCATTCAGTACTGTTTTATTTTATTTTCTATTTTTGCTTTTTTACACTTTTCTCAATTTTAATGTTTCCCAAGCATTATTTTGACCAGGTACCCAGGTTTGAGTTATGCACATTGAGAGCATCCATTATATAACCACACTTGCAGTTATTAAGGATTTAACCATTTTCTAATATTGGCCTATTTTCTACACTGCTTTTTCACATATATGCCCACAAACACATGGAATGTCTCTTACATTTACAGGTTTGTGAGCGTTTCTGGAACTGCAGTAAGTGTGAAGATCAATTTCCAGGCTGGCATTGCATGCATCCAAATATTAATGCACAGACACACAGAATTACAGCAACAAAAGAGCATATTCAAACCCTAGCATGCCCCATTCCCCTGGTTATTGCTTGCTTTGCTTAGTCATTTAGTACTACGTTTTAAAGGTTTATCTATGCTGTAGTGTGTGTCTGAACTTTATTGCTTTTCATGTGGCATAATATTCTCATTGTATGACTACACCACATTGGCTTATCCATTCATCCGTTACTAGACATTTGGGTGTTTCCACTAGCAATCTATATTTATTGAGAGTTTATTCTGTGCCAGGCAGCACCTGGCTAAGTTATTCACCCATTTCACAGATAAGGAGGCAGAGAGTCCTAAGAATTTATCCAAGATTAAGGGCTAGCTAGCAAGTGCTAGCAATAGCTGGGATTTGAACTCAGGCATTTTAGACTTCAAAGGTAATAGATTCACATGACAGAACACTGGAAAGACATAAAGTGGTGAGAATGGAAATTCCCCCTTTCCCCAAGTTTCCCAGTCACCACCTATCCCCTCCCTTAGAGGCATCTACTTTTGCCACTTTAAGAATTCTTCCAGAGAATTTATTTATTTATTTTTACCCCAACATATATGAATTACAGTTTACTGAATAATTTACCCCATTGGTTTGAAATGTCACTTTTATGTATACCACATTTCTCTCCGTGTTTCCATTACTCTTTTCGGAACCATCCTGACTTTTTTGCCTATCTTTTATATTTGCCATTTCTCTAGAATCCTTTTTATTAACTTCTTTTTTATTTTTAAAACTTTCTTCTTTTTAAAACGGTTTTTTATATTATGTTCATTCATTCTTTTTTTTTCCTTTGAGTCTCCTGCTTCCCAGGCCGGATTTGCACTGGTGCAACCTCAGCTCACAGCAAACTCCACCTCCTGGGTTCAAGTGATTCTTGTGCCTCAGCCTCCTGAGTAGCTGGGATTACAGGTGCACATCAGCACGCCTGTCTAATTTTTGTATTTTTAGTAGAGACAGGGTTTCACCGTGTTGGCCAAGCTGGTCTTGAACTCCTGGTCTCAACTGATCCACCTGTCTCGGCCTCCCCAAGTGCTAAGATTACAGGTGTGAGCCACCATGCCCAGCCTGTTCATTTTTGTGTTCTTTTTAGTTTAGTCTTCATTTCTGAAGCTTTTTTGTTCCCTCCAAATTCCTGGTTTAATAAGGACTTATTTTGAGGAAAAAAGATTCCAAACATCAGGCTGTTCACAAAAATAACCCACAGTATCCACTTTAGAAAACAAATCTTAAGACTATAACACTATCCCAGATACTCAACTAAATGACATTGCCTCTGCAGTTAGGGAAGCAACAACTGAACTTATGTATGAATGAAAAGAACTGTACTCCCTGCATAACAAGAGATTATTTTGGAGACAGTTGATTAAAACCATAGATCCTTTGAATTGTTAAGTCATAAAGAGGTATCAAAATTGACCAGATGTGGTGGCTCATGCCTGTAATCCCAGGATTTTGGGAAGCCGAGGCAGGCTGATCACAAGGGCAAGAGATGGAGACCATCCTTGTCAACATGGTGAAAGCCCATCTGTATTAAAAATACAAAAAATTAGCTGGGTATGATGGTGCATGCCTGTAGTCCCAGCAACTCGGGAGGCTGAGGCAGGAGAATCACTTGAACCCAGGAGGCGGAAGTTGCAGTGAGCTAAGATGCACTCCAGCCTGGCGAAAGGACAGAGGGAAACTCTTTAATAAGAGGAGTAGTGTATTCAGAAGTTTGTTGAACAGTCTGATTTATAGTAAAAGATTTTCTGTGACCTGGGTTGTGAAGAGTTCTATTAATGCCAGGCCATAGCCTTACATTTCCTCATGTTAGCACACCAGAGACCTGATGACCTGATTTTCTTTGGAATAGTTTTTCATAAAAGTTTGTTAATGTATCGTCATTTCCTTTTAAGGGCAAGACTTAACAAGGTAATACAGAAGTGCTAGAGATAGGTAACAGCTCTCAAACTCAATAAGCTTCTGTAGGTGATTTGCATAATGTGCCCGTTGTAGGAAAAGATTGGTTTCAGCAGACACTACAAACCATGTATTATTGTGGTGCTTAGCAGGAATCACATAATTAAATGACAGAAGGCGTTACTTGTCTCCGGATATTTTCTTAAAAAGCAGCTTCAGGTTTTTAGTTGGTTCACATATCCATTCAGGTCTGTTAATTAACCTGATAGGTTGGGCTGAGGAGGGGTGATTTTTATCCAGGTATAATGCACCCATGGTTCAGCTCCCACCTAATAGATGAATTTTAAATAATGTCTAATAGCTCCTTCCCTTTCTAAGATTTTATAGCCTGATCTTAGCCTCACGGTGGGTAAGAAAAGGTCTCTCACATATAATTTCTAAAGGGCTCAACTGGATCCTGTTTCAGGGAATGACCCAAATCCTCAGCAGGAGA